AATTTTTAATATAAAGATTAATGTATAATATATAATATATAATTAAAGTTAATTATATTTTAATTAATATTAGTAATATTTAAATTTTATTAATATTTATTTATAATTAATAGTAATGAATGATAGTTAATATTTATGAGTTATAATTGGAAAAAATGGCAATAAGCTACCAAAACGCTACTCTAAATAGCGTTTCAATAAGTTAGCTTATGTACATCCAAATCGTGTACCCAGCAAATAAGCGAGTTTATTTTTATCATACTATGGCTAACAAAAAGACGATTTTTTTTGAAAATTATCATGAAGTTTATCATAAATTATCATTTTATAAAAAGTATTTTGGAAATTAACATTTTATAGTTTAAAGTTAGTTTAATTGTTTGAAAGTTTGTTTAAAATGTTGCTGGAAAATTAAATATATTGAATATTTTAATAATATAATTCATACTAGAGTTGCTAAAATAGGGTAGCTGTTAGAGTTAGACGCAATTTTTTTAGAGATTTTGACTAGATAAATTTTAGTATAGCTGTTGGAGATTCTCTCATAAGTCATAAGCAAGTGGCAAAGTCACATAAAGGTAGTGGCAGATTCAGAACTTTTGCCTTGTGGGGGCACCTTTAAGGTAGATTAAAGGCTCTCAAAGTCGTTCAATGTGTTTTTAGTCTAATTCCACCATTTTAAAAGATTTTTAAAGTTTTTTTGGTTGATTTCAAGAGATTTTTTAAGTTTTTTTTTATCAATTTCGATAGATGTTTTTGGGTTTTTGGTTGATTTCGTGAGTTTTTTATATTAATTTTGAAGTACCTTTTTTAGTTGGTAAGGGTCTTAACGAGAAATTACTGGAAGGAACCATTTTCAAAAATTTTAAAAATAACTTTTAACTCAAGGAAATTCCTTTTTTTTTTTTTTTTTTTTAATGAGGGCCCTTCCCTCCACCTTTTATATGGTTAGTCAGCCAGACAACCACTGTATAAAGGCTCATCCGAGCTTGGACTCTAACTGAATTATAACCAAATTATATAGGCTCATCCCAACGCTCTTCGGCTCCCCTTCACCTATGACCAAGTGACTAGTTCCTTGCATTCATCACCTTTAGACATCAACGGAATGCACACACGATCCATCTCCTTTGTTCGTGTATAACGTGTATGATCCCATATCGTTTTATCACATTGGTAGTTATAACGTGTATGATCCATACCGTTTTATCATATGAATACAAAATCTAAAGCTAAATGATCATGTGGACTGTCTCTCTTTATTCAAATTTTCTCTGCCCAAAAAATCCAAGCCTGATGATGTGTAAACACGCATAACGTGTTTGAGTAAAAAAAATATGCCCATCGTACGATACTAATGATTGCATCACATGCGTTGTTTTTGTTGGTCAAGTTTTTACTCAAAATGGCTTTACATTCAATGTTATCATATAAAACATAAAACCTAAAGACTAAACGATCATGTTGACTATATTTCATAATTCAATTCTATTACAGCAAAAAAACCTTAATCTCAATGATGTGTAAAGCAGACTTGTAACGTGTTTAATTGCACACCATTTTATCATGTGAACCATCTTTCACGATCCAAAATACGACCCGACAACGAACCCTTAACGACGTGTAAAGTGGAATCGTAACATGTACGATTCTATACAAGTTATAGCAACATTTCATCCCAATTTGTCAATAAAAAGAATATGTGTAGGTGGTCACCATTGGTATTGTTGGTAGGAACTTTATATGAATGTGATATAGATTCATTGCCCCACCAAAGGCAAAGATTGGATAGGACCACATGCACATCACGTGACAACACTTCCAACCCCATTTCGAGAGAGACCATTCAAGGGGGCATATAATTGAAATCGACAATGACAAAGTATGATAGCAAGAAACACCAAGGAGAAGTTGTATTGCAAAGCTTTTTGCCCAAATTATGACGACTTATTCTGCTATTTTTGTTGCTTTTCAGTACAGCGACAGGTTCACGTAACCGAGTAGAAAAACAGGTATTTAGACATAATTAGAATAATACAAAAACAATACTTTGGCATATATATACACACTTGTAGATAATACGCCGTCCAACTTGTCAAACACATCCACACTTTAAAGAACAGGCATTTTACTGAAAAACATCATTAGCTGGTCCATTTTGGGTATATCTGTTAGATGACGACGTAAATTATATGATCCATATTCTATGACTTCTATAAGAAAACATCGATAAGTAGTTTATTGAAGTATTATTTGTGAGCTAAAAGATATAAGATTTACTTTATTTATGCGATTTGTATGAATCATATAAATAATCAGATACATATTATCGATACAGTAAAACAAGAAAAGAAACAAGTTATTAGTGGGCTTCCTTAATCTCATTGGTCTAACTAAATTGGTATTTGAGTAGCCCATACTCATTTTTTTGTATGTGGGCCTTAGCCCATAAGATTCAAACTAATTTTATTAATTATAGAAAGTATATAATATTTATATACAGTAATCGAAGTCACACATATTTTTCTTGTTTGAACTCTTAAACGAATTTTCTTCTTTTTCTGTCTGAAATCAAGGAGTTGATTATACTCCCTTTTTTGGTATTACCCAATTCTAGCTAATTTTGTATCATGACAGGAGTGCGGTTTAAAACTCCAGATTGCATCGCGATGCCTGAGAACATGATCTAATATATCGTTGTATCGAGTAGTTTATTATAAATTGTATTGTTACTCTTGCTCCCGTTAGGATAAATCTGCTATAAGAAGATTGGGTTATTAGGTACCACTAGAGCAATTATCGATTTGTTATTTTGAACTTAGGGGCCATTTACTAAACTCTTACCCGGTAAGTGCTTAACGGACAATTTTGCTCAGCGGATGGACATGACAAGGGCCAAGAATCTTACATGGTAAGAGCGATAATAAGGATGGAGAGTCTTATCCGGTAAATGATGATAACGACTTTTACCCGGTAAGTAATGATGACGACTCTTACCCGGGTAAACGCTTACCGGGTAAATTGTTGCTAGGATACCGTTTTGATGTACTGCAATCTTATTCGATAAAAATAAATTATAATATTGATTCCTACTAGCAAGCACTTACCGAGTAAGTATTTGGATAAACGGCCCCTTAGTCTCAGTTACATTTGAGCCATCAAAGTTTCTTATTTATGGAATATTCAAT